CGTTTTTTTTTTTTTTTTTTTTGAAAAAAAAAACATGGGGAAAGTCCCAAAGTTATAGCAGCATTAAGACAGTGAGGCTGTAAGAAAAGCGGTTGGGGGGTTCTTTAAAGTAGGTAATATAGGTATACCGTATATGGAAAACCCCTTCTCTTTGTAACCACGGTATTTCAAATTTCAATGGCTTCAGATGAAAGGAGTTTGCCCATTTTGTTTAGCCTCTTCATTTGTGAACTCTGCACATTGGATCCTGTGATTAGATTCTCGATGACACTAAAAGTGTCAAGATTTACGGGCTAACGTTGTCCATCGTCTGCCCCAAGTTGATATTTTTTTTTCTTTTTCATTTTTGGGTTTAATAATTGGCTTCGTTAATCTAATCACGGTTACTGTTAGAATAAATGATTAAAACAATGCATTGTCTAACCCAAGGCTAAATCACCTCCATGGAGGTCTCTGCCCACTTCAACTCAATTTAGAGAAGAAGCTGATAACACATTGGTTCCTGCACACTTGGAGCTCAAACAACTTCTTTAACAAACAAAAAGTTCAGGGTTCGGTCTCTAATGCAACTGAAACAATGTCAAACGTAGAGAGTGGAGACTAATGCACAAGATTATATGCAGCACTCAGCTATATAGAAGGAAGGAACACTACTTTATCAGGAAACAGAAGATGCTCAAACCACAGTTCACTAATAGAATGCTCACAATGGCTCAATACTAGAACCACTCCGAAAGAGAGACAGAGGCTAGGAATTACAAAATGGAGCATCCCTTCTGTCCTTTGCTCTTCTTTTTCTTCTGCTTGGGAGGTTGAAGCACCACTCTGATCGCTGCATCAAACACCGCCTTCACGTTCTGCATTTTCCTCAGATGATTTTACCTTCTCCATTCCAATAATTAAAAAAAAAAAAGCCGAAGCAACAGGGGAAAGTGCCAGTGCTAGATCAACATATTCAATTCACAAATGGAACTTTTCTCCTCACCTCTTGGGTTTTTGAACTGCACTCGATGTAAGCAGGCGCTCCAATTAGTTTCCTCAGTTCCTCTCCCTTTCATGAAGAATGCGGAATGTTTAACAAGGTTCTGGCCAATCCCCATGTAGTGAAATCTGTCCACAAACATAGAAAAAATTACTGGAAAACAAGTATGCCTACCTGAGCAGTGGTAATAGGCACAGCACCAGGGTGGTCAATAAAGAACTGTTTATCATCCCGAAGATCTGAGGCACATATAAAACACAAGGAATAAGCCTATGGTCACCTCAGGACCAAGGTTCAGATGTCAGAAAACAGACACAGTTGATTGGATAAACATACCAAGCTTAGTTCCAACAAGAATTATTGGGACACCAGGGGCATAGTGATTCAACTCGGGAATCCACTGTCAAACAGAATATCAAGCAACCAAATCACAAAAAATGAAACTTTGTAACATCCCGATTCAAAAGTCTGGCAAATAGAAACTAGCTAACAGCTCCTGGAAGTCACCTTCTTGGATACATTCTCGTAACTAGCCTTACTAATGAGAGAGAATGCTAAAATGAAAACATCAGCACCACGGTAACTCAGAGGTCTTAATCTGTTATAATCTTCCTGCCCTGTTACATGAAGAAAATAAATTTCAGAAACAAAAGCCATAGCTACTGTATCTAAGCTCCCAAAGGAAGAGTTGGGCCAGTACCTGCAGTATCCCACAATCCGAGGTTCACAGTGGCACCGTTGACAACCACATTGGCACTAAAATTATCAAAAACTGTCGGGACGTAGTCCTGTTCCATAGTTACAATCACAAGACGAATAAGAGACAAGTTGTGTAATTCCCCATCATCCACAAACCAACGACCAATTATCAGCTAAGGCCCGAACTTTTTCTCTTGGCGCGTTGACGATCAATAAGGACGGACATAAACCAAAGCAATTTCTACAATGACCAAACACCAAAAGAAGGAAGAAAACGTACAATCTTCACAAAGGCTACAATACATTCCCAGAACAATTTTGATGATAAACTGAAACTACCGAAACCCAGACAGAATCCAATGGAAGAACGAAACGGCGCGTGAAAATCCGAAACAAATGAAAGGAAGAAGGAGGGCACATTACCGTAGGAAAAGTGTTGCTGGTGTAAGAAATGAGCAAGCAGGTTTTACCGACAGCTCCATCACCAACAGTCACGCACTTTATGAACCTTGAAGCGCTCATTGCCTCTCACTTCTCTTCTTCGAATTCCTTCCCAAACACAACCAAAAAAACAGCCTCAGATCTACCTACACCTGAGGAAACCCCACAAAAAAATCCCTACAAATCAAGTATCGTCTTCCTCCACCTCCGTTACAAACAAACAAGGAAAACCCTAGATTACGTAAAACGCTGAAACCCCAACAGAAAACCAGAAATGCGAGAAATGCCAATACGAAATCAACGAACATGGATGAACGTGAAGACAATCGGGATCGAGAGCTGGAGAGAGAGAGAGGGGGAAGAATAAAGAATTGGCCGGAATTTTATGCCATTGAAGCGTTCACAAAAGGAACAATCTCCGCCATGAACTGCCCGATTGTTTTGCTTTGATTTTCTTTTTTACCACTTCGTTTTTTTCTCGTTTCTATTATTTGTTTTTTTAATCCCTTTTTATTATTTGACTTGTTTTTCTCTATCTCCTTTTAGTTTACTTCTCAAATGTTTTTTTTTTGTTAAAACATTACTTAAATGTTCACTTAAAAGTTTAATTTATTTTCTAAAATTGTATTGAATTATTAAAATACTGATTTATGAGAAGGACAGAGATTATGCTTTATATATAATACACGTAAAAGAGATAGTATGCATGCATAGAAAATGCAAAATCATTCAAATTATGTATGAGTATGTGAATATATTGTCAAAAATACGACAGATACATACACATGCATGCATGCATGCATGCACACGCATAGGAAACATGCTTTGCGGTATCCGTTCTTCAATTAAAGAAAAAACTTTTCCCGGCTTACAAATGCTTCATGGAAGGCCATGGTCCATCTATACATATACATATACATTCATATCACACGCTGCGTCTCCAAGAGGCGAATTCGAGTTCATCAGATCCCGAGACTGCTTTTGAAGCAAAACGACAATGGCGGTACAACAAGTTGATGGTGAAGGAGATTGGAGAAGGCTTTGTAGAGTCATTCGAGCTCTCACCCCATCATGGCTCGGCCACGCAATCCTTCTCTTGAATCTTTCTCCATTTTCTTCACCGTTCTTTGTTTTGTTTGGTGTGCAAAAGGTGGCATGAACCAAAAAAAAA